AATTTTCACAATGATTACTCTGATCTCTCAACTCACACTTGCTCATCTCTAGACCATACTAATTTCATTCTCTGTTCTTCAGCGATACCTTTTAAAATTTTACTTATTTCTTCCGAGAGAGAAGTAGGGTTTAACATCCACTCAACACAAACTAGGACATGTCAGGGACTAACAAGATTCAATTTAATTTTATAAATTTGCTTGTGCTAAGAGGTCTCTTGCAGTGGGAAGGACTAGGAGAAAACCCACAAGGTTTCACGTACAAGCGGGGAATCGAAACCACACCACTTGACTAATTGACTGACCTTGTCATCTAAAGTGCACAAATTCAAAAACATGAAAAAAAACTAATTTAAAAACCAAAAGTACGTACTTGGTTTTACTGTTCAAAAGCTTAAAATTCCAATTACCGTTATTTAAGTTATGAAATTTAAAGAGAGAGAGAAATGGGGTTTAATGTTGACTCGACACAAACTAGGTCATTTCGGGACTAACACATTGTTTAATTTTATTTCAATAATTCACATGCGCGTAGGGGTCTTTAGCAGTGGGAGGAATTCGGAGGGCCCAGGGAAAATCCATGAGGTTGGACAGACGACCCTACTCCTTGTCACATACAACCGGGGATTCGAAACCATGCCAGTTGACTCAATGACAGGCCTTATGATTCAGCACGCAAATGCTAACCATTCGGTCATCCCCCCCCCCCCCCCCATGAAATTTAAAACAAAACATTATTTATTTACCATGTCCCTGATCGGAGAATCAAATTGGTCTGGGCTTAAATCTAATTAGGTCCTGAAGAACAGAGAATCAAATTGGTCTGGCCTTAAATCTAATTAGCAAACCTTGACTAACATAGATATAATAATATACATTCATTTCTACTAAAGGAATAAAAACAGTGCTCTCTGTAATATTCTCCATCACTATCATCTTCATTAACCAAGCTTATAACTATAGTATACTTCACTCTTGGATCATGAAGATGCATATCATATTTGTTGGAAATTGGTTATGAAAATGCAATATGTTGGAACCAAAGGAAATTGATCTGAATATGGAGATGTTTGAAATTATCAGAACACACTTTACAGATGGAATCAGAACACACTTTACGAAATCTATACAATTAAATCAAAAATTTATGTATTGACTATAAAAAGCAACTATAAAGACGCAATATTCCAGAAGATAACCGATTTATATTCAAGATGGCATCTAAACTATGTTTATATGCTTTACATTATTCATTTAAATAACTATTAAACCAAATAAAACAATTGGTCGACTTCTGGCAAATTGCGGCTTTAATTAGGAAGTGGGGAACACAATCAATTAGTAATGTATACATCATAATAAGTACTACAAAAGAGAGAGAGAGAGAGAGAGAGAGAGAGAGAGAGATCCTCAAACTAAACCCAACTAAGTCATATTTCAAGAACAACCCACCAATCAATAATTCGCTTGCGTGTAGGGGTTCTTTAGCAGTGGGAGGAAACCGGAGAAAAGGCACGAGGTTGGGCAGGCGACCCCACTCCTTGCCGCGTACCAAGCTAATAGCACTTGAATGGTACAAGGCTAGCAATTCAAACTATACAAGTTACAGGTTGAATGGTACAAGGTTAACAAATCAAACTAGTTATGTGACTTGGGTGGGTTGATGCGTTCTAGTGAGCTGTGGAGTCAGGAATCTACACGGAACTAGGTAGTCAATATCGACAAGTACCTAAACAGTTAAAGACTTCATGTGTCATTTAGTGCTACAAGAATCCCTAATGGGAATATCAATACAATAACTATGGTTCAAATCCTTCATTAACAAAGTTATGATCAATTGAAATTTCATGGTTTTATTGGTAGAGAAGAAACCTAATAGGTCTAGTTTAAATCTGGTTGAATCCATGACGGGAGATTATCTAGCGTTGTTATTTTGATTTCTTATCTAAATGTTAAATACTCAATCTAAGTACAAATTTAGGCTGGATTAAGCAGTGAACAATTTGATATTTTAGCAAAAATGTAAATGACACATCAAGCCTTTAATAGGGCATATACTTGTTATAGTCCTATAATCAGCTTTCAAAAATATGGTTCATAACTAGCGGGTAACCAACGCCACCTAGCCCATGTTACATCCTGGTCCGAGCTATCCATATACACTAAGTTTCAGCCTCAAGATAGCCCTAGTGTAGCCGCCAACCCCGAACAGACAGACTAAAACTCGGGATGTTTATTGTCATGGATGTTCCAGTCTGGAACTAGCACCCCCAAAAGTTTAAAATACGACGACAGACCCCAAGAATAATAGATGAAATAAAAGGAAGACTGAATATAAAGATGGTGAAGAGGTTTGTTTGCGTGCAGGATGAAGGTGGGATGAAGGTCAAGGTTGTAGTTTATAGATGAAGTTCAAGGCTGTAGTTTATAGGCTGTTCTCATCATGAGATCAAAATAAGCATCATTATCAATGGAAGCGCTCACTCCTCCGTAATAATTCTGAAATTCATCTTTTGTGATCTGAAACAATAGGAAATGTGCTTCTACATCTAATTCTAAATAAAACTCTATAAATAAATGTCTGCGAGTCTACTGTCTGAACTGTCGTAAATTTTAAAACGGATTTCTTCGATTATAAACAAACTACTTAACTTTGGTTATTATAAACTTACCTGTGTGTTTGAAATCTATAAAATCCATTGTACAACTAAATATCCCAACAAATAAAAATAGAATTCCCACAAACTTTTGACATAGAAAAATACCAAATTGGATGCTGATTACTACGTCACTCTTTGGGAGAGATCATTTCGTATAAAGAGATTGCAGCATGCCACAGTTTGCGGTACTTTTTATGACAATTCAAGTTTTGTATAAGAATAAGCTATAAGGCTCAGCTCGGTATTGAGTTTGGGAGTTCACGCACAACTGCCGGTATTCCCATTATTTTGTTACCATCTTTTACATTCTAGTAAAATCTCTGTAAAGTTTATAGCTTTACCTTTTGAAATATTTTGTTTTAATCATATTTTTGATTAGAGAGTTTATAGCTTTACCTTTTGAAATATTTTGTTTTAATCATATTTTTGAATTTTCGTTTGAATACCAATGCTGGACAAAAACAATGACATTCGTTTTTAGGCCTTAAAATTTTACCCATGAATATCTTTACTATCATATAACATGATACAACGTATATGTACAGGGTATTTACAATTATGGGGCTAAGGTGTAATTTAAGTATTATTTAAAATAAATTTCAAGATAGTTGATGATAAAGAACATATCTACATTATGAACAATAAATATTGCACCATATCACAGTACAGTCGAATCTGGAATGATGGTGCGCTTCTTACAAGGTCTTACAGGTTTTTTAGCATTATAAACCCACCCACAAGGCACTCTCAGGGCTGCCGCAACACACTTACAGATGTTGCTGAAACGTTTTTGATTGGACTGAAAGAATGATATCAAATTGACAATACGACGATACACTCGGAAACTTGTAATTGTTTTCAGTTGATATTTTTCGTTGCCCGAACTCAAACAATTGAAAGGATGGTGCTTTGTTTTGATTGCAACGCATGGTTGTCAAACTCTCTGTCAAACTTCAACAACAGCTTCACTGGTTTTCGTCCAACACGTGAGAGAAGCCATACTGTATTTACAAGTAATAAGTGAAATTTTTTTATTTGTTGGGGTATTTTAGTTGTACAATGGATTTTATGGATTTCAAACACAAAGTTAAGTTTATAATAACCAAAGTTAAGTAGTTGTTCTTAATTGAAGAAATCTGTTTAAAATTTACAACGGTTCAGACAGTATAATTGTTTTACGATTGAAAAGAATTAATAAATAGGTGAGAAAGTTAGTCCGTAGAAAGCTAAGGGGATACAAATAAAGAAAACAATTAGTGCAGATATAATGAGGCCATCTAATAATATAGCATGTTTCACAAACAAAAGGAGCAATTCATTGATGTCAAAAGGAGTTACCTCCCATGAACAGTCGAACATACATTTCAAATTGTTTTGAGTCATGGGTGTTTGAGAAACATACAATTTATTTGAGATGTCCTTATCGTGAAAAAACAAACTATGGTACTACAAAAAGACACACAATTCTACAAATCTATATAATTTATCAAATAAAACAAAATAAAATTGTATTGTCACATCCTTATTAACTTATCTAAAATACAGATGTGACATCATCCCTTGATAATGGTACCGGCAACTTGCCAATCTTAAATCATCTATACTAGATGAAATATTGGACTTGTGTGACATATTTCATTGAAAAGCTCGATCAGGATAGTGCCTGTATTTTAAGTTGTTTAATGGACTCGAGCTAAAGACATTGCGTAATATAATGAAACAACACTCGGCTAATGCCTTGTACAGTATCAATATATTAATTAATGTCTCGCTCTCGACCATAAAATCATATTCCTTTTTAAATCAATTTGTCTTTAAAACGAGTGTCAGTATCCTTATTTTCACAACTTGTTTTTGAAACGAGTGTCAAATTCCTTATTTTCACAAGTTGTTTTTAAAACGAGTGTTAAATTCCTTATTCTATTAATTTGTCTTTAAATTGTCAATAACCTTATCAATTTGTCTTTAAATTGTCAATATCCTTATCAATTTGTCTTTAAATTGTCAATATCCTTATCAATTTGTCTTTAAATTGTCAATATCCTTATCAATTTGTCTTTAAATTGTCAATATCCTTATCAATTTGTCTTTAAAACGAGTTTCAGTTTCCCTATTTTATGAATTTGTCTTGGAATTGAGTGTCAATATTGTTATTTTATCAATTTGTCTTTAAAACTGGTGTCAATATCCATAACAAGTTGTCTTTAATAAAACGAGTATCAATATCCTTTTTTTATCAATTTAATTACAATAAAATATCAACATGTTGAACAAAACTAGGCCGTCATCTAATCTAATACGCTATCTTAAAAATTAACACCAATATTTTAAAATACATACCTTCCCATCTTTTTCTTGACTGTCGAAAGTTTTAAGGAATTCTCCTAGACACTGATCTTCTGACCATTCACCATTTAAATATTTGGGATGTTTTTTAACATTATAAACACCTTTTAAATCTTCTACTGTTATTAACCCATCACCAGTTTTATCAAGCTTGTTAAATGCTTGGTGAATTAAGCTTTTCCTCATGTTATTCATGGGTGGCTGAAATAAAATAAATCGTTTTGTCACCGAAGTGAAAACAATGTAACTCACGTTGTAAATTATCATTTTAAAATATTCGTAATAAAAACAATATAAATCTGTACTGTCGTGAGTTGGGGGCAAAAATCTGAATAATTACCAGAAATTTGGAGAAGTTGACATCTCTGAGTCGAAGGTCTGGAGGAATGAAATTGGCAAGCAGGAGTCCTCCATTAAATAATGCGAGCAAAGGCCTACGGATTGACATTTGTGTCAAATACTGCTTGTAACAAAGTACAATTAGAGAGAGAAAAATGGGGTTTAACGTCCACTAACAGAAACTAGGTCATTTCAGAACTAACATATGGTTCAATTTTGTCAATAATTTGCTTGCGTGTCTGGGTCATTATCAGTGGGAGGAAACCGGAGGACCCGGAGAAAACCAACGAGGTTGGACAGGCTACCCTACTCCTTGTCACGTACATCCGGGGAATCAAAATCATGCCAGTTGACTCAATGACAGACCTTATGATACAGTGCCCACTGCTAACCATTCGGCCATCCGCCCCAATTAAAGTACAATTAAGAAAAGGACATTAAAATCTCTCTACTTACTCTCAAATGAACTAAGAATTCATCAAAATCAATTGACCCACTGCCATCTTTATCAAATATTTGAAAGACTTCTTGTATAACATCATCCTGCATTTCTGTTAAACCGTAGTCATGGATACCTTTCTTAAATTCTTTCATATCTAATGATCTGCTTTCATCATCATCCATAATTTTAAAAGTCCTAAAAATGAAAATTTAATTGTTCTTTGTCCAGATCAGGGTTTTCAATGTTAAAATTAGGGTTTTCAATGTTAAAATTAGGGTTTTAATGTTAAAATTAGGGTTTTAATGTTAAAATTAGGGCTTTCAATGTTAAAAATAGGGTTTTTAATTTTAAAATTAGGGCTTTCAATGTTAAAATGAGAGCTTTCAATGTTAAAGCAAGCCAACAGTGAGGCTGATGTCCCCCGCCGAAATCCCCAAATAGATGACACATTAATTAATCGCACATTTATTTTTTTCTAAAGTATCGAGCAATCAAACTATACACTAAGTTTCATCACCCTCTATCAGATAGAATCATGATTATCTTGTCCCAAATCATTGACCAATGAAATTGATTAGCTCTGCTTAGCTTCAGCTCGAAATGTTAATCATTGAAGTCAGTAGTCAAGACATTGACCTAATGAACATCTACATCAAGTTTAAACATTCTACCTCAATTAAAAGAAGAGTTGTTATGTTCCAAAGTTATGACCAATCAAATTGCTTATCGCTCTGCTTACCCTCAGCAGAAAATGTTCATTATCGAACTTAGTCAAGGTATTGATATAATACAGCTATACACCAAGTGTCCTCACTCTCACTTAATTTGAACTAAGGTTATCGTGTCCCAAAGCATTCAACCAATCAAATTGCTTATCTCTGCTTACCCTAAGCAGAAAATGCTCATCTTCGAACTCCATCAAGGCAATGACCTAATAAAACACCTACACCAAGTTTGAACATTCTAGCTCAATTAGAAAAAGTTGTTGTGTCCCAAAACAAAAAGTATGACGGACAGACGACCCCATTTTAATAGTCACCTGCTTTCTTCGAAAGACGGGGACAATAATTGTCAGCCTGTAAATGTATGAGGTTAATCTACAAGGGACATCTGGTTTATGTTGGGGTTTTTTAACATTTTTTACTTTATGGCTGTTTTGTCTATAACCCCCATATAAAATGGGTTTTAACGTTCTACTGTTATGCATTAACAGGGTTAAGGATGGGCTTATGCCATACTGTGTGGCTGTGCTATAAGAGATATTTTGCCCAGACAGTGGCAATAAGGGTTTTTGACCTACTCCTATATTGAATTCCAACTTTTATGGGTTCTTTTAAGTGCACAATCGTGTACAAAGGACCTCGGTTATGTGTAAAAACCGAACAAGTAAACACTGTCCTTGCCAGGCCCTTCGCCCTGCACCACTGACAAGAGGAAACCGTAGTGGAAAATCACATTGAACTTTCTTGGCCAACACAACTCAATGGCGGACCTTCTGCTCTAAAGTGCACATGTTAGATGATTTAGCCAGCCAACAGACAGTATAATTATTGATATATACCTGGCTAGACCTTTAATACCATTAGCTCCACGTGATAAACAAGCCAATCTCAATTTCTCTACTGGATCTGTGGCCTTCGCGTATTCTTTCTGGGCTTTCATCTTCATCTCCTTATTTGTCCTTTGTGTACACGCCATTTTTGTTTTAATGTGCAATCTGCTTAGAAAAACAAACAAACAATGTAATGCATGTATTTTATTTCATTGAATTTTCTTGTGGAATATAGGAGAGCTAAGAAAAAAAAAAGAACCTCCATTAAAGCGAGAGAGAGATGGGGTTTAACGCCCACTCGACAAGAACTAGGTCATTTCGGGACTAACATATGATTTAATTTTATTTCAATAATTCGCTTGCGCGTAGGGGTCTTTAGCAGTGGGAGGAAACCGGAGGACCCGGAGAAAACCCACGAGGTTGGACAGACGACCCTACTCCTTGTCATGTACAACCGGGGATTCGAAACCACTCCAGTCGACTAAATGACAGACTTTATGATACAGCGCGCGAACGCTAACCATTCAGCCATCCACTCCCCCTCCATTAAAGAGCATTAAGATTTAGATAAGGAGCTAGCCGTTCTTGCTATAATAGTTTTTTAAAACGAAAAAGATAATGAAAAAAGTACAGGGCATAGCCATATTGAAATTTCAATCGAATTACTTTATGGGTGTTACAAGTTTTGAAGAGATACATATCATTTATAAACAGACTTGACTGCAGTGTCGAGTACAATAATAAAAAATGTCGTAACCTAATAGGCAAACTGGTAAAAACACAGATCCTATTTCATTTCGTTTTTTATAGTTCAAAGTTTCGTTTTAATTGTCTTCACAACACTATAGGATCTGGAAGAGTTGTTACATAACAGGCGCTCTAGTTGATTTGAGGAATTAGCCAATGAAACGGTCGGTTTCGACGAAATCTGGGTGTGCTCTGCACGGAACTGTGGGTAAGCCCCTAGAAACGTTAACACTGATTGATTAATCAATGTCTGACGTCATAGGGTCTAAAGCTGCCTGTATGACTCCTGACGCAACCTCCCAGTACACCGGGTCAGATCTTCATGTACACTAGGTCATCAAAGTATAAAAAAAACGAAACGAAATATAGATGTATATTTTAATCAGATTGCGTTATGGTCTTGTGAAGTCAGAAAATTTAGCTTGTACATGATGCAACTTTAATAACTGAATATCCAAGCACTGACGTAATCAGTGGTGATTGCTCCACATGTTCACTGTAGTTTCCTAACCATCTTATAAATATAGGAAGTCACAGTTGCACATAGCTACGAAAACGTAGATAAAAATGTCGAGATATTCAGAAGTCACAGCTACGAGAACGTAGCTAAAAATGTTGAGATATACTGATGTGCTTGTTTTTAGCTATGATTGGGTGCCTTTAGTTTCACTTGGCAAACTTAATTTCATTATTAATGCATGTAACATGTTATAAATAAGTTAATTTTATATTAGAACCTATTATTACACATACCCAGCCCAATCTATATTTTGCTTCGCTTCACATGCTGGGTGATCAGAAAAGCCACCCAAGAATTTCTAGTCGTTTATCCCTTGTCAGTGGTGGAGTACCCAGGACATGAATAGCATCTAGTAGTGGTTATTGGGATGGGATATTAAATAACTGAGAGAACGAGTGCTGCATATCGTTGAACGTCCTCATCGTCCTGTCCTGACAAATTTCTCACATGCCGTCAGTGTTCATTAGCCTACATGTACGTGACTTGGTACAGAAAACTAACAGACTAAGGCTGACCTTAAAAATATCTTTGTTTCGCCTAACGCGACCGACTAACTAAAACCACCCCCGACTTAAATTATTTTATTGCACTTTTCCGCGATCTTTTTATTTTATTTTGTGTGTCAACCTGAAATATATCACGAGAGTTATTTCCCTTTACTATGGCTATGGTTTGATTCATTATTGAAACTGGTTGATCAAGACGAAAGCGTCATAGGTGTCGCTTCTCAACAAAATGGTTGCAGACGAAAGCACGTCCATTCCCACGAAATGATTCTGCCTCTATGTCTGTGGGGCGTCGTTTTAAACATGACGACGACATTTTCAATATCCGTTTTCGAGAAAAATGAAGGCACAACCCGCACGATCGTTAAAAACGTGTTGAGGGAGTTTCAAACGTGAGTTTGTCGCAATTTGTGTGCGAGTCGTGCATCAAGAAAAATCCCGATGTCATTGATTTGTTTGCCAATAAAATAAGACGAATATGTTTGCACCCGGAAAATTATCAAGCTGTCAAATTAGCTCTTAAAAAAAAAAATCTGAAAAAAACCCGACCTACCGACCCTTCTCCTCGATTGTGGGTCGGGTTTGGTGAAACAAAGATATTTTTAAGGTCAGCCTAAATATGTAGCATCTGATATCACTTCTAAACATGATAACTTATTCATTGACTAGAAAATATTTAAAGGTCAGTAAATAAACTACAACTATTTCGTCAGGTTTTAACAGCGCACTGGTGATCATAAAACAAAAATTAGGGTTTTCAACAAATAAACATTTAGCCTATAAACAATAGATGCGTATCATCAATCAACATATTTACCAACCTTCCTCTATGAAAATGCTTATTCACACGTCAGCCTTGGACGATTGCTTCAATTTATGTACAATATTAAATTCAAACAATGTAATAATCTTTTCACCCTACCTCCGCCTAGAAAAGCAATCTTATAAATGCAAGTCAAGTCCTGTTTGGAGATCAAATTAGGCGACACGGCGGGATTATTTGATACAAAAAAGAAAGAATGATATCACGTTCGCTCTGTTGTTGGTCGTTATGGAAACATGGACCAGTTATTGTTGTTTGTTTTAATTGTTTAAAACATGCTTGGGTAAATTTGACATTTTCATTAAAATTAAATCTCGTTAATTAGCTTTGATACAACTATATTTATTACATCCATACAAAGGCGATCGTTAATTCTTTGTGAGTTGATTTGCTTTTAATTATTGTTATAATCGTATCATAATACAATCGCCAGTCCCGTAGCAGGTGCCCGTTATGTAGACTCTTTCAACCAGGCATACATATTTCGAAACGCATCGCCGAACACATATCATTATCGAATAAACTTAGTGGGTTAATTATTGTGATGCATGCGCTGTAATTATAGAACTGCTGTAATTATATTGTTGTTATCGCATCGGGCACCATTAAAGAAGATAAAAAATATATTAATATTTTCTAAAACCAGGTTTATGAAAGATTTTTCAACAACAAGAATCATAATCATAATGCCTGACATGAGACGGATTAATTAAATATATTAGTGCTGATAATTTATTATGTATTGTATATGGTTAGTGCTAAATGATAAGGCCAGCTAATCCCAACACTAAACCTAGACCTAGCCCTAATGCTTACCCTAACCCTAACCTACAATCTCGTTAACAATCACGTGCCCATACCTTTTTTTTACATCTCAACGACCTTGACAAAAATTGAGCTGGCCTTAACAAATAGATTTAGCTTATTGGATATAAAGTGTGTAATTTTATTTTAAATGAATAGGTCCTACCTTTTAAATTGAAATCAATCATGATATACACAATTTATATATTGCTAATAAAATAAAATAAAATGGGGTTTAAGGCCTTTATACTGCTAGGCTCCTACTGGACTAATGAAGATGGTATTGCTAAAAGAGAAGGGCATGAAGGCAATTTTGTCCGGAATTCCAAGAATTCCAACTCGGTAGGGGGGTTTGATGGCCGAATGTTTAGCACGTGCGCTCTGTATCATAAGGACTGTCATTGAGTCAACTGGCGTGGTTTCGAATCCCCGGTGGTACGTGACAAGGAGTGGGGTCGTCTGTCCAACCTCGTGGGTTTTCTCCGGGTCCTCCAGTTTCCTCCCACTGGTAAAAAACCCCTACGCGCAAGCGAATTATTGAAATAAAATTTAAACCATGCGTTAGTCCCAAAATGACCAAGTTTGTGTCGAGTGGACGTTAAACCCCATTTCTCTCTCCCTCTCTCCAAAACGGGACCTCGGTGTTTTAGTCCTATGCCCCCCCCCCCCGAAAAATAAACATCTTATTTTATCTTATTCGGGGCCTATTTTATATGTTACGTTGGTTCACTAATTTTACGGCAATATTTTGATTGAATAATTCAAGTATTGGATATAAAAATGATTACTCCACTGGCCGCTCTAATCTGTTTGTGTCGAGTGGACATTAAACTTGCATCTATAACATCTACACACACACACACACGCACACACACCCATACGTACTTCTACGTAAGAAAAATACCACAGACCACCACTCCTTCCTCGAAAATAAAAATAAAACCAAAATAATAGAAATCGAATCAACATGTAGATTATTGTTCTCGCCAGTGAAATAATCACGATAGATTATATAACATATATTTTACGATATAATGACGCTCGTCACATTTCAGTGAATCGTGATCTTCTTTATTCTAAACGTTTCTTCATATATATTGAATCAATATTTAAATGTTTCTTCATATATTGAATCAAGATTTAAAAGATTAATATGATATAAAAAAGTTGTTATGTTCAAATAATATTTTATCAGAAGTAATCTGACTTTTTTATGTCTTTAATTCTCTTGACCTTTTTGTTTTGTAAATAAACTGTTATAAAATTGAACGTCTTGTAATAATAGTTCTCTTGACCTGATATTATATAGCTATGACGTGTTGTAACAATACTCGCTTTACTTACGTAATTTCTAGACAAGGCATATTTAGTATTGTAAGTATTGGTGCAAATTCTCCTCTGACGAAAGCAAATTCCTCCACTGATTTGGTAAAATAAATTTAACGAGCGGATTCAAAAATTTTTGCAGGAGGGATCTGCCAGTTGACAATGCATGATGCTATCATCGTCTCTAAAGTACGTTGGCATACATACACACTGAGCTTTTAAGTGAGAGAAACCCAACTCCCCGTTTGATGTCAATTTTTATTATGAATTAATAGGATCACATTGTGATTCAATTTCATTGATGCAAAGCATTAATTGTGATATCACATATGTCTATATAGTTATCTCGCGCTTTGAATGCGTATCCCGTCCCACCATCTGACGATAAAGGATAAAGCACACGACCGTTACACTTTTCTCATAATGTTGTTTTACAAATTCTTTTTATGTGGATGAGCAGGGTGGGGTTTGCCACCACCCCCCTCCTCTGGATCCGCCCCTGGGATGGTCAATAATTCTTATCTTTGGTGTCCTTGTCTTATATATTTACTTGTGTGTGGTGTGGTCCTCCTATAAACCTATAAAACCTCAGTATGCCATGGTTTATGATGCAATAATCAACTTGTTCTGTTCGGGTAACGTGACAAGGAGTAGGGTCGCCTGTCAAACCTCGTGGGTTTTCTTCTGGTCCTCTGATTTCCTCCTACTGCTAAAGATCCCTATGCGCAAGCGAATTATTGAAATAAAATTAAACCATATGTTAGTCCCGAAATGACCTAGTTTGTGTCGAGTGGACGTTAAACCCCATTTCTCTCTCTCTCTCTGTTCGGGTAAAACGATAACTTCACTTGTCATGTAATGGATTTCCATCTGTTTTATTGCAAAGAGGGAGTCACGGTGGCTAAGTGAGTAAGACGCTGGCTAGCTAGCCTCAAGGTCGCGGGCGGGTTCGATCCCAGTGTTGGCTGAGAAAGTTCATCTGGATTTTCTAGCGTGGTTTCCCCTTGTCAGTAGCACGGAGAGTCTAATAAGGGGCGAAAAACCCAGGTCGCGTGTACATATTGGCATGATATCTGGTCGTTCGGGTGGTATCGAAAAAACGAAGCCCCGTGCACACATTGGCGTTCACGTAAAAGATACATTCACAGTTGGAATTCGATATAACAGTGGGCGTAGCGTCGCTGCCCGGGCACGATTTCCCCCATATCACACTGTATGGCGCATACCTTTCTTAATTAAAGGGACATTATGGGAGATTAAAGAAAGAGTTGACAGTTCGAACACGGTACCTCCCTAGCTCAATGATTAAGATCTCGGGTTTGATCCCGGTATGGTTCGTTGGGATTTATCTGCAGGGATCACGGTGGATAAGTGGGTAAGGCGCTGGCTCGCTAGCCTGGAGGTCGGGTGTTCGATCCCTGCATTGGCCGAGAAAGTTCATCCAGATTTTCCGGCGTGGTTCTCCCTTGTCAGTGATGCAGGACGGAGGGGCTGACAAGGACAGCTGTCTAGTCGTTCGGATGGGACGAAAAACCGAGGTCCCGTGTACACATTGGCGTGCACGTAAAAGACAGTTGGAATTCGATATAGAGTAGGCCGTAGTGCCGCTGTCCGGGCTAAATTTCCCTCATAGCACACTGTATTCATGTTGGCGTGCCCGCCCGGCAGTTTGAATTCCAAATAAGTATAGGCCGCAGGTATTGTCTGCGATATCACGTTAGGTGGAAGTGGCCGTAAGACCCTAGGAAAGAACGAACGAACGAGGCCGCAGTGCCGCTGCACGGGCAAAGGTTTTCACATATCACACAGCATGGCGTATGTCCGTCTTCATAAGCCCGTGGATGAAGGGGGGGGGGGTATCGATGGCCGAACGGTTAGCTAGCTCGTGCACTTTGTATCATAAGGTTTGTCATTGAGTCACGTACCTGGCGTGGTTTCGATTCACCGGTTGTACATGTGACAAGGAGTAGGCTCGCTTGTCAAACCTCGTGGTTTTTTTTACTGGGTCCCCCGCTTTCCTCCCACTGCTAAAGATCCCTACGCGCAAGCGAATTCTTGAAATAAAATTAAACCATATATTAGTCCCGAAATGACCTAGTTTGTGTCGAGTGGATGATAAACCCTATTTCTCTTTATCTCTTTTTCATTATCCCGGTTAATACTCCCAGCAGGACGTTAAACCCCATTTCATCTCTCTTTCATTTCAATTATTAATCCCGGTCCTGTCCCTTTAAGATGAGCCTGCGATCACGATGACGTGTTATTGTAAACATATGTCAATGATAATCACAGTAGGAGATAAATGAAATGTACTGAACTGTGTTTAACTTGGTCAAACTCTCTCTGTATTGACAATCTTATAATCCAGTGTTAGAATGATCTCAAACCAGTCAGAACGATTTATAGCGGATTTAACACACTTCAAGGTAAGATAATATCTATTTTCACCCATTATTTAAATAAAATAAATAAAATAAAATGGGGTTTAACGTCCCACTTGTCTGCATGAGCCGGGAAAATAAAGACAGGCATTTTTTAAAATGTAAACAAAGTCAACTAAAGATGTTAAAAAAATCGTAATATGTATTTTTCTTTTGGGGGAACTAAATAAAAAGGAAATCTGTATTTTATATCGTCACTAGGATGGGTTTTCAAAGAAAGGATTTTCGTTTTACCAGGTAAACCTTAGCTAGGGTGAAAACAAAGTCTTAACGAATCTTAAATATTGAAGTGGGGTTGGGTAGGCTACGTGGCAAGGAGTAGGCTCGCCTGTCCACCCTCCCGTCAGTTCTCCGGGTCTTCCAGTCTCGTCGCACTGCTAAAGACCCCTACGTGCAGGCGAATTGTTGAATTAACAGTGAATTGTATGTTAGTCCCGAAATGACATACTTCTTGTCTAGTGGACGTTAGACATCATTGTCCTCTATCTCTCTCTCCAACCTCGTGGGTTTTCTCCGGGTCGCGGTTTCCTCCCACTGCTAAAGACCCCTAGGCGCAAGCGAATTATAGAAATAAAATTGAACCATGTATTAGTCCCGAAACGACCTAGTTTGTGTCGAGTGGACGTTAATCTATCTTTCTCCCTCTCTCTCTCCCTCTCTCTCTCTCCCTCCCCCCTCTCTCTCTCTCCCTCCCTCTCCCCCTCTCTCTCTCTCTCACGAGTATTTCTGTTTTTGCAGGTAAGTCTTCTAGGATTTAAAAGTCTTAACGAGTTGTTAATATCTATAAGCAGTAACACGTGATTGACTGACCTCTACACTGTATTAGTTAAAACGAGTTTTCTACAAAGCTCCAATTAAATATTGAAGATTACATTTTACAATTATATTTCTATGATATATGGTCTCAGTTCTCGATATAACAGTTAAATAATAGATAACGTAATTATAGAATATGCTGAACATTTCACTCTGAGTCGAGAAAATCGAATTTCAAAAACACTGTAGCCTCGATTGTCATTGTTACGGTTGTTACGATAATAAACAAAGACTCGATTATCCATTTTTTACGGTTAATTATGAACAGCCGTTGAATCAAATCTGTTTAAAATTGGACCCATCAGATGGCATCGTGAGTTGATTTAGGTCTTGCCATGTTAATTAATAGTTTATATAACATTACAGGCCTAAAGAAAGACCTGTAACAGGTAGATTTGACTCTTGTATAATACTAGGGATCAAAACATTATCATGTAGCCTTTTCATTGATTCATTGATTATTAAAATATTTTAATATGTTTATATTTGGGTCATTTTCTCCGCTTTGGGGGGGGGGGTCATATTATCTTGATGTAGACAAGGGTTTGCGGTTCCATGAGAGGGAGAGGGGGGGGGGGGGTTAACGGCCTGAGAATCCCGATGAATTTCCTCGGATGTTTTTCTTGAATATGTGAACTAGACTATTGCTATAGATATTGATATGTGAAGCGATATGGGAAGTGGTACCGGATGTTTTAGGAAGAGTAGACACTCTGTGTAGATTTGTTTTTTTTATTTCAGCCACTGTTAGAATAGGAATGAATCTCTGTCGACGATGTATACGCTGTTGTCAATTTTCCTGTTATCCCCAAACACCTGACGATGATGAACCAAAAGCCCAATTAGTGTTGCAGAATCCCTTTATTGGTAAGCTCTAATCTAAAACCAAATGAATTGGGGTTTAACGGGCATACGTGTGTACCTAATCTTCGTCAAGGGTATTTTTACGTGCACGCCAACTTGTAAATATGATTTCGTGTTTTTTTTATCTCATCCGAACGACTAGATGTTGTCTCTTGTCAGCCCCCCTGCCCTACATCACTGACAAGTGGAAACCAGATTGCATATACCCTTCTTGGGACTTGTGTGACAATGTCCAGACTTGCACGTTATAAACTGTAGTGGTTTTTGAGGACTTCAGTAAACGGACGTTATTAGCTGGGGTTATTTCGAATATAAATATGCTACATCAATTTATTTTTCTTGATGGAACTCGCAAAATATGAAATGAAATGAGGTTTATATCGAATTCCACTGCCAAGGGATCTTTTACGTGCACGCCAATGTATACACGGGGCCTCGGTTTTTCGTCCCAACCAAACGACTAGACAGCTCTCCTGCACCACTGGTGTCGGTGACAACCACGTCGGAAGATCCCGGTGAACTTTCTCGGCCAATGCAGGGATCGAACACGTGACCTCCAGGTTAGCGAGCCAACGTCTTACCCAGTAAGCCACCGTAGTCCCCTTTTCTTGATGGAATTCACAAAATACATTTTATGTTTGTAAAATGAAATGAAACGTTGTTTGATTTCCTATTTATCTACATGAACCGGGTTTTACAAAGATTGACGTTTTTGGCTCAGATGACGGAGAGTCTACCAACTCATCGTCGAAAACCATAAATATATTGATTCTGTGTACAAATTTGTTGGTTAGCCGAGCGCAGCGAGCTGTAAAATGTCTATTATTTCTATTGAAATGAACTGAAATATTGTTTAGTGTCTTACTTTTCTGCACCAACCGGGCTAATGAAGACAAATATACCCAGGGACTTAAAATTACGTTACTTTTTTTTAAAATTGAAATCTTCAATTCTCTATTTTTATTTGGATAGATCAATCTCGTTTTGTTTTCTATTTTGCATAGATCAGTCTATTTTTATTTTTTTTAACACTAGGTGTCAGTGAAAAACGATATTTAACAGGAAATGACTTTATGGAGATTGATATTTATCAGGCTGTCAACGTCGTGGCACAGAAACCCCAGATCGACTTTATACCAAGGCCAGAATACTTTCCAGATGATGAACTACCGTCATCGGAGGATAGCGACGACTTCAACCTGGCAAATGATTCCAAGCTTCTACATGCTAGAAGTCTGGATAATCTTATAGTCACATCATCCAGTCCCCAATCTTCTAGGAGTTTCACAAAATGTCAATCTTTAACGACTTTATTTACAGACACATCGAACATCCCCACGTGTACAAACCTTACTTTAGACTATGCAGAAAATGACGAAATACTGACAATCGTAATTAATGAAATTTGTAACATTCCACCAAAGGGGCAATACACGTCGATATATTTCACCCTGAAAATTTTACCCTCTCTGAAGGAAGGTCTCCAGAGTAAGATGTCCGTGTCGTGTATAAACGCGGTGTTTAATGAAGTGTTCCGAATTAAAAACATGTCGCTACAAAACCTGAAAAGGTCAACGTTTCGTTTGGCCGTGTTTAATAAGGATACAAAGAAAAGGGGTTCTATCAGTAAAGACACATTTATCTGTGAAGGTTTCTTGAAAGGATCTGACGTCAACTGGTCGTCAACACACACAGAGGAAGTGCAGATTTTCTTGAAACGGAAATGGCTGAAGAAGGTAGAATGCTATTTAATACTATATTTATGTTTGGTGCTAAATGATAAGGCCAACTCAATTTTTCCTCATAGGTTACGAGATGTAAACAGGGCTAGCGCTAATCCTAACCCTAACCCTGTTATTTTAAACACGTAAACAGAACAATACGGTTTCTTCGAGTTGTATTATTAAACGAACACAACGTGAAGTCACGTCAAGTCGGAGCAATGGTGTAGTAGGAATATAAATGTTAGCAAGGTGAAATCCAAAGCCGATCTAGAATATAGTCATCAGAATACACAGAACAAAGGTGACCTAATATCACACGATAGTGGTGGGGCGTACATCGTTGATTTAGAGCCGGGTTATAGCGAGAATTAAAGATATACTATAATGTATTCTGGACCCTTTTCTCCGGTTCGCAGCGGGGTTGGGTGGACGAATGGTAGTTCGCGTTGGGTCAGATGGTCTGTCATTGAGTCAAGTAGCGTGGTTTCGATTCCTCCTCACTTGTACGTGACAAGGTGTAGGGTCGCCTGCCCAACCTCGTGGGTTTTCGGGGGGTTGGATGACCGAATGGTTAGCACGTGCGCGCTGTATCATAAAGCCTGTCATTAAGTCAACTGGCGTGGTTTCGAATCCCCGGTTGTACGTGACAAGGAGTAGGGTCGCCTGTCCAATCTCGTGGGTTTACTCCAGTTCCTCCGGTTTCTTCTCACTGCTAAAGACACCTACGCGCAAGCAAATTATTGAAATAAAATTGAACCATGTGTTAGTCCCGAAATGACTAAGTTTGTGTCCAGTGGACGTTAAACCTCATTTCTCTCCCTCTCTCGTCGATCGCAATGAAAATACAATCTTAAAACTGTTTAAAAATTAACAAATTGACCACATTGTTTTTTTTTTCAGTTCAGTACCTCCAATAAATATCTGGAATCAGATTTGGGTGAATTATTTGTGTTGTTAGAATACAGACCAGTTGCCAATAGAATGAAAGTTTTAGTGAGAAAAGCTAACAATTTACCTAAATCTGATAAACTTATTGGACATCCAGGTACAGTACAAGTTACACGTCCAAGGAAATAGTCTCATCAAAAGTTTGAGTAATAAACTACTAATATAGGTTGAGATAATCTCTTCGAAACGTCAAGGGCGGATCCAGAGACCATGAATGGGGGGGGGGGTGCACTGCTGGCCTGGAGATCGTGGTCGTGCTTAGTTGCGCAACAGCCGCAACCTGGGTCCAGACACAACAAGAACTACTGGTTTAAATTGAAGCTGTCATTGTACGATCTGTGACTAGGTCCACGCGTCAGCCGACCGGTGCGCCCCCTAGATCCAGATAAGGTAGGCGGGGCATGCGCCGGGTGCGCCCCACTAGATCCGCACTTGTTATATTATTAGCGATTTTCCAAATGTGTAATAGTTTATTAGTCTATCCAATTACTAAATGTCTCTAAAACAATAGGGGACGTTAAACTTTGGCTCGCTAACCTAGAGGTCCCGTTGTCAATCCCTGCGTTGGCCGAGTAAGTTCATCGGGATTTTCCGGCGTGATTCAGCCTTGTTAGTGGTGTGGGACCGAGGGTCTGGCAAACAACAATGTATAGTCGTTCGGATGGGACGAAAAACCGAGGTCCCATGTACACATTGGCGTGCACGTAAAAGACCCCTTGGCAGTTGGAATTCGATATAAGAGTAGACCATAGTGCCGCTGTCAGGGCAAAATTTCCCTCATAGCACACTGTATAGCGTATGCCCGTCTTCATTATCCCAGGTTTGGAGCAGAACAGTTGGACGTTAAACCCCATTTCATTTCCCTCATAGCACACTGCATGACGTCATCATCGACCTGATGGTCATTTTCTTTGGTTTATTTCAGGTCACAGTGTGTTGATAAATCTTCGTAAAGGTGATGACGTCATAGCATGTCACGAGACACGTGTACAGGGTGGATTGAATGCCGTCTGGAATCAACCATTTTTATTCACAATACCGAACGAGGACACGGATTCCTACTCACTGGAATTTATTGTCATGAGGAATAGGCGTTATACCAAAGATGACGTCGTTGGGCACGTGATTATTGGATCAGACAGTCCTAAGAGTGGAATTGATCATTGGACAGAAACAATGAAACCACGTGGTCTAGAGTGCGCTTTGTGGCATGACATTGTTCCCATATTTAGGTATAAAGAATAGCATGAAGTTTCCCGGTGTCTGTGATTCTCCTAAAACGGCGAATAGCGAACGCCAACAAAATCAGGATAATGCGACTTGATGATCGGGATTCCTTTATTCCCAGCGTAAATAATAATAATTATTTCATCAGCGTAGAATTATTAACACATATAAGCGAATATTTAATGAATTAACACATATAAGCGAATATTTAATGAATTAACACATATATTAAGTAAATAGAATATACATCAGCACATGACATTTCTTTGTTTCATTGTGATTTCCCAGCAGTTCTAATTTTTATATAAGAATAAAAAATACGCGGGGAATAAAGGGATCCTGATCTTCCAGTCGCATTATCCCTATTTTTTGGGGCGTTCGCCATTCGCCGTTTTAAGAGAATCACAGATACCGGAAGTTTCCTTACCCGCTAACCCTTAGGAAAGAAATATCGTCCGGGTGTGCAAATAAATATTTTCAATAACAGTAACAGTTATCCTCGAGAAAAAAACCCCCAAAAAACAAAACACGAAGAGAAAACCAAACAACAGCAACACCCGACAAACAAAAAAAAAGAAAAAAAAAAAAAAGAACCAAGTTATCCCAGAAATTGATGTCATTATTTATTGATAACTTTTATATTTAAAATAAAAGAATGTCAAAAATAAATATTTATGAATAAAGCTGTATTATTTCTGTTTTAAAGATAACAATAGAAGTTGAATCTCTAAAAGGAATTTGTCTGTGAAAAAGGAATTTGTCCCAGAAAAAGGAATTCGTCCGAGAAAGGTTCAGTTAGACATGAATCATATGACGAATTGAAAATTAGCCACCCAATGCAGACCATATGGCTAGGGTACAACATTAATTTCCCCACCAACTCTAATGTTAAATTACGTCTCTTTGACAGACTCTAACTTGCCCCAAATTCTCATGGGGTTGAACACTTTCGACCACAGATGGAGCAACATGTGGCAACCTCTTGCTCAAGGGCTTTAATGAGGTTCACCATGGAAAACACGAGATACACAAAGTAGAAGTAGCATACAAATAAACATTCAACTGCCCGCCCTACATTTCAACAACCAACCAAATCGTCAACAAAAATCGCCATGCAAAAGTGGGATTAAAGAGAGAGAGAGAGAAGGACTATTAATAACTTTTGCACTAGGTAACCAGCCTTGGAATTAATCACTGTAACCCGGCTATCATTTAATCTTGTGTATCTAGCACTAATTTCTTTCACTTTGTTTAAAACTTGGTAAAATACCATTCCCTTGCTGTTCTTCCAACCGGGCCATCTCGACCAGATGAAATACAGAATTCAACACACAGCATAGTAACAAATATAGTTTTATTCAAGCTTTTTCAGATAGTTACACATTTCAAATCTTACAACAGCTGGTTTTATACATGACTTTAAGACAGCTATACATTTCAAATATTGTTATAGTTTTATTTGTGACTTTCAAACTGTCAACAATATTCAAATCTTACCATAGCTATATAAATAAATTTTTTCATGACGTTTTTTTCGTAACTTTCAAACTGCAATTCATTTCAAATCTTACAAAAGAAATAAATTGTTTTATTCATGTGTATCAGAAACTCTGTATATTTCAAATCTTATAATAGTTCAATACATATAGTTACTCTACTCTATGTATTTTTCATTGTTTAATCTTAACAAAACAAAATAATTAACAATTTCTGTAAACCAAGAAAAACTTTTCTACAAAAGAACAAACTTCATTAAATATTTGTAGTGATTTTCACCTCCGTTCACAAACTTTCCCAAACAACTGAAACCCACCAGAAGAGATAATCCACTATGCTATTATAATAAGTAGCCTATGGTGAATAATTTGGGGAAACATCAAGTAACTTGTGTCCTGTTTTAAGGCCATTACAATGTAATATTGTATGTGCTGTGATGCTTATACTATTTCTATCTGTTTCACGGAAGATTACAAAAGTCTTCTAATAACTTTGTAAAAGATGACTGCCTTCAACACGTGACGACACATCATGTGGCGTCAATCATTGGCTCAATGGGGCGTTCATTGCCTTTTACTTATTTTACATACCCATTTACACAAAATAGGAAATATTATTTACTTACATATACTTCAACATCTTTATTTATTTTTCTAATGCTTAAACAAAATGTTTTAGAGTTTATTTTGCAGAAGGAAAAAAGTTAGTATCAGTGATTGTAGCGGTCTAGCGTATATTCACTGCTGATCAGTGTGATATTATTTGTGGTACAATGTATGTACACATGTAAGGAGGATATTCTGGCATCTAGACAAATGTTCCTACAACAGACTCTAAGACAACAAGAACTAAATATATATGATCATAACTTCCAGTTGATCTCAACCAATCGGTAAACCTTGAGTTGATGTTAACCCCTAACCTCCAGACGATCTGGACCTCCAGTCAACCTCAACCCCCAACTTCCAGTTGATTTCAACACCCAATTTCCAGTTAATTGCAACACCTGATCTACAAACGATCTCAACTGCTAACTTCTGGTTGATCCCAAGAACAGTTGATCACAACATGAAATCTTCCGGTGATTCCAAGCCTTAACCTTTAGTTGATCCTTACTCAAGAAACCTCAATAAAAACACATTTACCTTAATGCTCAATTACACTTTGAAAATCTCACTTCAAACTCTGTCTTAGGAGTGAAATTGTAACCATTGTATATTTTTAAATATTCCCCATCCCATCCCAGTAATTGTTCCATGCCAACTTACAGCATGTTAGGGCTGACCAGTAACACTGATGTTGCAGTCCATCACTTGATATTAAAACTTAGTCTTCTAACACTGATGTTGCAGTCCATCACTTGATATTAAAACTTAGTCTTCTAACACTGATGTTGCAGTCCATCACTTGATATTAAAACTTGTCTTATAACTTGTCAGACTAATATAGTCTATTATTTCTTTAGTAACATGTTTCTAAAGTCTGCATTAGACATAGCACTTATTGGAGGAGCAGATTCAGCATCTCCACCACCTGCTCCATTACTTGATGCTGATGATGTTGCTGAAGATGATACTGATGATGCTGATGGACGGCCTTTTGCTGTAGGAGGAGCTTTACGAACAGATCGGGGCAGAAGGGCTATCTGGGTTCTAGCTTTACCTCGTCTGGAAAACAAAAAAAGGAGAAAAAATATGAACATTGATATTATTTATGAAATTAATTCTGAAAATTAACCAGGGACATCGATGCTGTTTCAATATATTGCTTGTCGGAAATCAGTCCATCACATTTATGAAATTGTGGGGGAGCCATAAAAAGATCCTGTTACAACACAATTTTTTCCTCATTTGAATGCTTGATAACAACCATTGTTATCCATAGAACTGTGTTATGTTTTCTATTCTTTGAATGGCATTTAGTAATTGGAACATAATCAAAAACACACTTTTATGGATAACAATTACTATGGTTTATTTCACTGCGACGTTTCAACAACTGTATTATGTTATATTATCAGAACTTCTTGAATTGTATACCCCTAAACGCAACCTCCGCTCTTCCTCTGATCCATGTCTTCTTGTTCCACGTTATGCAAATTTAAGTTCATTTGGTGACCGTTCATTTTATGTACAAGCCCCCCTACTTTGGAACAAATTACCACTAGATATTAGAACATGCTCATCACCGGCTACTTTCAAAAAGCATCTAAAAACACATCTTTTTAAAGAAGCTTTTATATAAACGTTTTAAAAGTTACTTTTATATAATATGTTCTTATTTTTTAACAAGTTTTTTTTTTTTTTTTTTTAAAATGTATTCTGTATGTTTTATCTTGTCATTTTATACTTGTCGTTATTTTACATTTTCTGTAACCCTTTTATTTATGTAGTTCTTAATTATGTATCTTTTAATTGTGTACAGCGCATATGGGCACCTAACGGTGGAAGCTATGCACTATAAATTTTTCAATAATAATGTTCAATCGCTAAATGTCATTCAAAGATTATAAGATCGTGTCGAGAGAAACAATATACGTCCACATGAAACTTTGGGCGTATAAATATCGGTACTATAGTATTTATATTAGAACTCACGTTTCACTTTCCTTTTTACCTCCGCCAAGAGAGGGAATAAATTCATCGCGTTTAGCCAGGGGAGCTTTACGTTGTGGAGGGTTACTAATAGCAACTGATATTGTATTTTCTCCTATCTGTAGACCGTCTGTCTTCATTACAGCATGTGATGCATCAGCCTGGAGAAAGAGAACACAAGGGTTTGTAATTAATCACATTTGTAAATTCATTATTTATTTTCTTACTCATGTTAAGATTCTATTATATACTATTCAAAAAAAGTAGGGGATATTTGATTTTGGGGGCATAATACTAAAATATGCAAATGACTACGAAAAAAGTCACTATAGAACCTAACAGAAGAAACATTTCCAGTTACATGTGACGCCCAAACGCACCAATAGCTACCGCATGGAATGCAGGTGATGCTTGGGATCATCATGGGGGTCCAACCCAAGATTTGCACGACTCTGACTTTGAATGTTACAGTCATTGTGGCATTGAATTCCAGGGTGGAAACATCAGTTTAATTGTTTTAGTGACCAGAAAAAAATTTTGATATGCGTCGGCTTACCCAAAATGAAAGGTTACGTGCCCTTGGCATGCTACAGATCGGCACAACACAGGCGGTTGTGGCGCGGACGATGAATGTTTCTCAGTCTGTCATAAGCAGGCTATGGTCCAGATACCGTGATACACAATCTGTACAGGACAGACCACGCTCAGGTCGACCAAGGGCGACAACTCAAGCCCAGGATCGATTTATCCGTACCTTGGCCTTGAGAAATCGTGTCATCACAGCAAATCAGATCAGCGCTCGTCTTCAAACAGACACTGGTGTGAGAGTGAGTGGCCAGACGATTCGGAATCGACTGCATAGGGGTCACCTTCGCGCCCGACGTCCTCGCGTGATCCCTTGTTTAAGAGATCATCACATTCAGGCAAGACGTCGTTGGTGTAGGGATCGTCAACACTGGGATAATCGACGCTGGAGCAATGTGATGTTTTCAGATGAGTCAAGGTTCACTGTTGATTTTTTGGACAGACGTAGGAGGGTGTGGCGTCGTCGAAACGAGCGCTTCCAAGACGTTAACGTCATCAGACATGATCGATTTGGGGGTGGTTCTGTTATGGTGTGGGGAGGCATCACTGTTGCTGGAAGAACGGCTTTACATGTTGTTGCAGGGCGTGTTACAGGCCAGTACTACCGGTACAACATCTTGGCAGTCCATGTTGTGCCGTTCGCACGACGTCATGGCCGCCGTTTCATCTTCCAGGATGACAACGCAAGATGTCACAGGGCCAGGATCGTTACAGGTTACCTCCAACAACAGAACATCACCACATTACCTTGGCCAGCACTGAGTCCCGACCTCTCCCCCACCGAGCATGTCTGGGACATGCTTGGACAGAGGTTACGTCAACGTCAACAACGTCCTGCCAATGTCCAAGAACTTGCTGCTGCGTTGCAACAGGAATGGGACAATCTGGACCAAAATGACCTTAGACGTCTCATTAGGAGTAT